ACCTGAAGTTTAAAATAGCATAACCTAACTTTTAGGGTTTTTAATTTGGTATCCAAATCTTGTTCTAAAACCAATCACACCTTCAACATAGCCAAACCTTTCTTAAAAGAAATTATCAGGGTACAAGAGTTACCAATAACAATAATTTTAAACATGAATGTTATATTTATTTCATATTTTTAGAAAATATTATGAAATTATTTGGAACATTATTTAAATTTTCATGTACCTTTTATCACAGTGGAGCTATTAATAGATCCTTAGGTAACTTACACAGGTGTTTAGTAGGTATGGATGTTTGCACTTTGGTCTTTTATCTACCTATTTTGAGCTTGCATATAATTTCATTATTTTTAGAATAAATCTTAAAAAACCTTTTGAAGTTATTTATAGGCATAACCTAAAAGAACTAACTGATCTAGGAGATATTCTTCAGGTGATGCATTCACCTTTGCACAAAGGTTTTACTATCTTCATGAACAAGTAATGTAAAAAATTAAATTATTTAATAATGAATATGAAAATATAGTAAATTCTAAATATTCTTCTAAAAATATAATGAAGTTAATCTTGTCTAGTTATCCAAACAAATATATAAAGTAAGCTTCATGCTAGAGCTTATGAAAAATTTAAAACTCTTATATATGAAGTATGGATCAAATGTTTATCACTCTGAATTGTCTTTTGATACGTTCATAAGGCTCTTTTTTTAATATTGAGAATATACTACCTTATTAATACGCCTAAAGATTTGCAAGATAAGCTTATTATAGGAAGTACAAGTCCGATTTTATGGGGTTCTCATTCACATACTTCTTGTACGTTGATGATATCATTTTAGGCGAAATCTCACCACAACCACTAAAATACACAGATTAACTATTTTCTCAAGACACTTGGATGACCAAAGAAAGACTTTATGAAGCTTTTTCTCCTAGGTCTTATTGATAAATACATGGAATTAACTCTATAGAGTAAAGTTTTTTTGCGATCCAGTGGAATATATTGGATGTAGCACCAAGAAAAGGCTTGTGATCTAACTTGTATATTTTTTGTTCTGATTTTATTTTATTCTTTTCTGACATATTTTTTGGAGCTGGGTTACCCTTGGCTTCAGTTGTGGTATGACTCCTTCATGTTTGATCTTGTTGCTCTTTGTATTCCTTCGGTAATAGGTTGGGCTGCTTTGATGTTTATGTGTTTTTTGATAACATTAGGTAAAATTATCTTTTATTTCTTACTAAATAGTGAAATATGGTATTTCTTTTTCTTTCTAATGGATATCTAGATTATCCCTAGGTTTGTTGTATTAGTTATTTTTTTTTTCATAATGTGTGTCCTTCCATCCATTTCTTTTTTGGGATTCTTATATTCTTAGTGTGTTAGATTGGAATCCTGTTGCTCTCTAAGTTCTTTTTGTGTTTTTAATTTCGCACTTTGAGCCATGATATTATTATTTTATTCCCATGTAACCTTTCAAATCTTTATTATAACCATCAATAATAAAACAAACACAATATATATATATATATATATATATATATATATATATATATATATATATATATATTATATATATAATATATATAATATATATATATATATAGTAATATATATATATATACATATATATATATATATTATATATATATTATTATTTTTAATAACAACACAATATAATAAAAGATTTAAGGTCATTGGCTTTACTCGACAAGTTTTTACACTTTAAGTTATTGACAATTGCTAATGGCAAACCCTTCACTTTTTTTTTCAATTTAGAACTTAGGACCTAGCAAATGAAAGTTAGGGGTCAATATTTCACCACGACTCAAAATAGCCCGACTTGAACCTGACCCAAAAATTCTTGGGTTAGGATAAAACCCATTTGAGAAACATGTCCCCGCGTTCACACTATAGGAAAATCATCTTAACATTACGAGGAAATTTTGCAGCGGAAAAAATTTTATTCATTTTTCGGAGGTTTTTCGAATTTACAAGGCAGTTTTCCCGGTGGAAAAAAAATTTCGGAAGGTAAAACCAACGTGTAGGAAAAATATCAATTCCCAGCGTTTTTTTCGGCCGGCAAAACCATTCCCGGCGGCTCTTCCACTGCGCGAAATTCAAAGCCGTCGGAACATAAGAAAAAAGCTTAAAAAAAAATTTCACGTTTCTCTCTTGCATGGAAGGCCCGCACTCCCTCGACCTTGCCAGCGCCAATCCTGCCCCAGCTCGAAAGTCCGCCAGCGTCTCCAGCGCCCGCCCTCACTCCTTGAGCTCGAGCCCGCCCGCTCAAGTGCCAGCCCGCACTCCCATTTGCTTGAAGGCCCTTCCGGCCGCTCCCGCGCCAGCCTGCCAGCCTGCCCCCTGGCTCGACTCCCACGACAAGCCCGCTCCAGCACTTTCAGTGCTAGCCCCTCCACCTCCGGCCAGCTTCTGCTCCTAGGGTGATTCGAACCCGGCTGTGAGCTGGAAAGTCTTCAAGCAACCAAAACGAATTACTCGACAATGCAAATAAATTCGTTAAATGATTCAAAACTTTTATATTTAAACTATCTATATGACCCAAAATCAAATTTAGTATTTAATGATAACTAATTAATTAATTAACAAAAAAAAATGATAATTCATTATAAAATAAAAAATTTAATAATTACTAATTAATTTTTAAATAAAATAATTAAATAGTTCCATATTTTTTTAATAATTTTTTGTTAAATCTTTTCCAATAGCTTAAAATTTAAATCAATTTAATTTAATATTTTTAAAATTCTACTAGAAAACTGAAAGAGCCGCTGAAAAAAATTTCCGTCAAAGGGAAAAAAGCTGTGGCAAAAATTTCATCGGAAAAGTGTCTAGTTCATTTTTATGTCGGAAATACGCGAAAAGCCGCAAAAAAAATGCCGCGGATTTTCCATTATGTATCAGGTCTTGAAATCCTGACATGAGGGGTTTAAATTTGGGTCAGCGTTTGCGGTCAACCTGAAAACCGATTAAACCCAGAACTGACACGATTTCCCAGTCCGTTTACGGCGGCCGTGAGGTGAAAGTAAAGACAACTCATCCATTCTTTCTGTCGGTTTCAGAAGTCATGCATTCTCGCCTAAGCAATAAATGATATCGACTTCGACAGCTCCGAGTCGCCTCTCTTTGACAGTTAGTTCTTTCTATCGGGTTTGTAAAGTCACGAACAACTCACCACCTAGAGTCATTCCTTTCTGCTCCGGTGTCGAAGTCAGATATCTTGCCTTCACCAGGTTCAACGTTATTCCTTCTATCGGTGTGACAATCCATGATAAAGCTTCCTGTAGAATGATCGAATTTTTTTTCTCATTCACGTGCTTTTTCGCATTCAATCCCCCGATATTAGACCTTTCTTCGCCCGCCTTTGCTGAAGTTCTTTCTGTCGTTGACAGTTCCACGTGATTAGCTCTTGTTCTCTTGTGGATCAGTAGTACATGACTGATGGAGGGGAGCAATCTTTGTTGCCGAAATTAACATTTTCAATTCCATGTTTTGTATGGTCGAGTAATTTGGAACCCGAGGGTATGTTTGGCGTGAATTTCAAACCTTTGGCAAAACAGCGCGTTTAATGGTTCATGTCAAATAACCTGTCACATCGGACCCGACCCAACCCACCACCGATCAAAATTTTCGGGTTTTGGGTTGCCCGAACAGCGAACGGTCGGGTTCGGGTTCAGAAAAAGCGACCGATTGCCATAAACGGTCGAGGTTCGGAGTTTGAACCCGACGGGTTTCAGCACGGGTCAAAACCGAAACCGTTTAATTTTAAAAAAAAATTGAATTTCTCCCCCGCTCACTCCGCTGCCCTGACTACCCCGCTCCTGCCCGGCTAGCCGCGCTAGACCCCGACCAGCCAGTTTCCCGAACGTCCGGCGCAGGCCGCTGTTTCTGTCAACCCCGCGTCCAGTTCTGCGCAAGCCAGTTCGTCGTACCAGACGGCCATGTTCGGCGTCGAGGCCGCGCAGCAGAAGGCTCGTCACTGTCCCTGAGTGCAGTTCCGAGTCGTTCCGACTCGACGCAGGTTCGCGTCCCGAGGACTTCCACTGCGTTTCTTTCACCGCTCAAGGCGTCAATTCCGGTTCCGTTGTCTTTCACGCCTGCGTTTCTTCGCGTCCGCCGCAGGCACGAACTGACCGCCGAATCTCGCGTCACATTGGAACACAACAATACATGCGGAGCCGACGAACCCCAGCGTTGTGACCCGCTGCACGAGCGGCGAAGATTGGTGAAATAGGTGGGTCGGGTTAACCCGAACCCGAATAGTACCGGGTCAATTTCGGGTTGACCCGAACCCGACCCGTAACCCGAAATTGACAGGTCTAATGTCAAACAATAATGGATCATAACCGAGTTTAACCCGAACCCATCCCGCAACCCGATTTTAATACCCTTAAAGAGTAGAAATTGTGCAATTCAAATTTTTTTTCCTGAGAAGAATAAGCATTTTAACTATTTTGTTCGCCTTCAATAAATACAATTGCTCAAATTCTAAAAATTTCATTTTTATTTTTATTTCATACATAGAATTATGTATTTCACAAATTTTATTTAACTCACGCTCAAACGATGCTGATTCTGCACCTCATACTGCTGTTCCCTATTGCATTTTAAATTCTACAAATTTGTACCAACCATTGACTCGTTCATGTAAGGACAACAGAAAGACGTTTGAACGCGTCTTCCCTCCCTCGCAAATCTCTCTCACATGCAATAGGAAACGGCAGTACTCTTTCACATGCATGCCAGACAAGTTCACTTCACAGTCTACAAATACCCGCACAGGGCCTGCAATTCTTACAAACTGCTCCATAAAAGACTTCCTACTTACGTTCGTTCTGTTCTTCCCATAGCTGCAATTCAAGCTAACCATGATGAACACAAATTTAGCTTCAATCCTTTTCTGCGTAATCCTAATTACAACTACAGCCTTTGCTCTCACCAAAGAGTGCCTGGACCCTAACCCTAGCTTTAACTCTGGTAGCGGCTCCCTTCAGTTCAACACCTACGAGACTAGCTGCCCCCTCGTTGAGCCTATCATATTCGCCGGCGTCGAGCGTGCCGTCTCCGTTGCACCACGCATGGCTGCTTCCCTCCTCCGCCTCCACTTCCATGATTGCTTCGTCAATGTGAGAGTCATTGTTAACGTTAACTAAGCCTTCCATATGGTGGATAGATTGACGCCATGAGAAGAATAAAATAAATTTTAATATAAATGAAGAATGTTAGAACCGTAACAAAATATACTGAAGAGAGTAGGTAGGATATTTTATAAAAGTTTCAATTCAGCCAAATTTTATTTGGAGAAAGTAATGTATTTTTTATATAAACATGTTCTGATTTCTTACAAAATGTAGAAAGTTTTTTTTTTGGGACATTTAGGTTAATTAAGGCAAACTCAAGCACACCACGCATACACAAAGACTCGAACTCAGGACCTCTTAGTTGAAGCATTTGAACTTCTGATATGCTTTATAGGAATTAAATTTTAAAATAATCCATGGATTATTTGCGTGCGGCTAATTTAATCTTAGAATATTATATTTTTCTAATTTAACCCTCAATCATCTAAAATTGATTTAAAATGACCTCTCTTATAGAAAAAAAAATTAAAATTGATCCCACTTTTAATTTTTAGAGCCTTTTATGGATCAATTTTATATAGTTAGGGATTAATTAAATTAAAAAAATAATAATGCTTTTAGATTAAGTTGAACAACATGAATAATTCAAAACTATCTTTGGGTTTAATCCTACAATTTTTTTTTTAGAATTTTTATACATATATATATTTTTTCTTAATCGGCATTATAATTTTATTTGGGACAATTTTTTTTTTACTTTGTAAAGCTATTGTACAATAGAAGTTAATTTTTTAAAGTGTTGTAAAAAAACTATTTTTTTTATATAAAATGTATTGAAAGCAACAAATAAACAATGATGAAATAGAAAATGTGATGGGAATAGTTAAACACTAAAAAGCTATACAAACGAAACACAAGATCGACTAGCCAATCCAAAATTATCTTAAATTATAATATAGGGAGTCATTAATTTTATGCTTTCCATCACATTGTAATATAAAAAGAATACAAATAAAACAAAAAACTGAGCACAATTGAGTCAGATTGCAATGCCTATGGAGTGTTTTTTTTTTTTTTTTTTTAAATCTTCACATAATTATTTCTTTCTCAATTACGGAAATTGTCAATTATAAGCACTTCTCCATTCTTTTCATGTTTGTCCATAAAAGGTTTCATGGCGTTTGTGAATTAGGGTTGCGATGCATCCATACTGCTTGACGACACGGCTACTTTCATTGGAGAGAAGACAGCGGCGCCGAACCTCAACTCTTTGAGAGGGTTCGACGTGATCGATAACATCAAGGCCGAGCTCGAGACGGTCTGCCCCGGCATAGTGTCGTGTGCTGACATCCTTGCCGTCGCCGCTCGGGATTCTGTTCTATTGGTGAGTGTTGTGATAGCTACAAGGAGATGTTTAATTACTCATTGTATAAGCTGATGAGGGAAGTAATGGTGATTTGGTGTAGTTGGGTGGTCCTTCATGGCAGGTGGAGATGGGAAGGAAGGATAGCTTCAGTGCAAACAAGACAGAAGCTGAGAATACCCTTCCTGGCCCCAACTCCAACGTTGCAACTCTTACCCAGAAGTTTCAAAATGTTGGAATCTCTCAGAGAGACATGGTGATTCTTTCAGGTAGTTAATTATTTCCGAGGAATGCTCAATAGACTACTACGTACTACTTTCAAGTATGTTTATTTCCTTTTTTTTTTGCATGTAACAGGAGCTCACACAATCGGCAAAGCCCGGTGCGCCACATTCAGTTCCAGGTTCAGCTTTTCTGGGCCAGGTTCATCAGTCTTAGGTGACCAAGAGTTTATTGTTTCGCTACAGCAACTATGTTCTTCAGGCTCCAACAACACACAGGTCGACCTTGACCTGGTCACCCCTTCCACCTTTGACAATCAGTACTACGTGAACCTCCTGTCTGGCGACGGTCTGCTTCCTTCTGACCAGGCTTTACTGGGTCCTGACGCCGGAGTAGTAGAGGCGCTGGTTGGCTCCTATGCTGCTGATGTTGACGCCTTCTTCGAGGATTTCAAGGCGGCGATGGTGAGGATGGGGAGGTTGGTGTCGCCGGCGGGGAATGGCGGCGAGGTGCGAAGGTGCTGCAGGGTGGTCAATAGCTAGAAAGTGAATTGAAGGACATAATTAACTGGTGTGTTGTTGTGTTTTTTTTTACGTGTCATGAAGGGTGAATTAATTTGCTGGTATTGATGCATGTGTTTAGTGCTTCGTTGGTCAGGACTTGTTATTGGGTGTTTAGCTATGAAGGTTTGTGTACTCTCTTTGTGTAAGTTTGGGGTATTAATTGAGCTTATTTGATATTTTATTGATGCTCCTTTTATCCGTTAAGTATCAGTTGTAAATGATTTTATCTTTCTCAACTTGGATTAGACAGCTGCCAATAAGATCTGATCTTGATTTTATTTTTAATAACTGGACTTGTCAATAACAAGCTACTTATCTTCCACTCAATGTGGATTGTACTCAGTTAAAAGGTTTTGGAAAACACCATGTCCCATAGGTAATTAAAATGGTTGGCCAACTCTGTTTCCATAGCTTACCGATACAAAACTTATTTCAGATAATAGTAGATGTTGGTATTAACAGTGCTCCAGGAGAGACCGCTACTAGAATTGAATCTGCTGGTTTTGCAATTAAGCACCAGGCGTTTGATATTTCACCTAAAAGGTAGTTTAGTCAGACAATATATCTTCTGATAACTGATGAACGTGAGAGTGCTTGATGCCGGTGCATGCTTATAGTTTTTTTTTGTCCTGATCCTTTAATAAACTTCAGTGGTACATTTTCTAGCATGTAGCGTGTTGTTGCCAATTAAGTGGCCTTAAAATTGTATATATATACATTGTTATGAATGAAAAAGACAGAAGAATTTAATCTGAGAATTGTATTTTGAGTTGGTCTATATCCTGACGCTACGTCAGGTGGTGGCCTCGATTGTTCTATGGCCTTGCATTTTGCTCCATCTATGAATCATATCCTGAGTTATCTGCAAGGTGTCTTGCCCAAGTTCTGTTCTTTCCCAGACTACTCCGGGGTGGTCTGGTGTAGTGTGGTAACAGAGCATAGTAACAAAAACCATTTGTGTTGCATTAAGAAGAGCCAAGTGAAGTGAGTATAGTCGTCGATAAATAGTACATAGTAACGAAAATCATTAATAGACGAAATAGGAGCTGGACCCCAAACATCGGAATGTATTAACATAAAAGGTTTCGATACATGAGAGCTAGAAGAAGAAAAAAGATAGTTTATGGCTCTTGGCCACATTACAAGATTTGCAAACAAAATGAGAATTGGGAGTACATATAGAAGTAACTAATTTAGCTAAGTGCTGATGAGTTCTGATGTTTGGATGTCCAAGCCTAGCATGCCAAACGGTTGAGTTGAATGAGGGTGAATGAAGAGCTTTGTGATTGTTGACAGATGGAGTGTTGATGGAGTAGATGCCATCACGGTTGTGTCCACGGATGAGAATGTGATTGCCCTGTAAGTCCTTAGTAAGAAAGCCATTTGAGTCAAAAGAAATAGAACAATTATTATCTTTCGTTAGTTTGTGAATGGACAAGAGATTATGTGAAAGTAGGGGAACATGAAGTAGATTGCATAATTTGAGCTTACGAGTTGATTCGGGAAGCGGAAGAATTCCCTGACCCGAATGTTGTATAGGCAATGAGTTACCATTAGCAGTAGAAATGGTGTCGGATCTGGTGTAAGGCATGGGAAAGTGAAGATTGGAGGTATCTGGTGTAAGGTGTGATGAAGCACCAGAATCAAGAATCCATTCATTGCTGGTGTTGGGTAAATGACTAGTCAGAAGAGCCTTTGATGCAGAAGCTGATGAATTGGCATTGTACTCAGTGTTAAAACGATGCCAGCAGTTCATTGCAACATGTCCGGATTTTTCGCAAATTTGACAGGTCGGACCTGGTTGATCAGTCCCAGACGAACAATTGTTCACGTTCGAGTTTGGCCTGAAGGGAGCTCCACGTCCTCTGCTTCCTTTGTAATTTGAGCGTCTGCGGGATGTAGATGAAGAGCGACTGGAGTAAAGAGAAGTATTGTCCGATGGTAATGAGACATCACGTTGAAGCTCAGTTTGCTGATGAATCTCCTCACTACAGAGGAGAGAATAAAGAACATCCAGAGTGATAGGTAACTGACTGGTTCTAATCGCCATTTTGAATGGGTTATGGAACGGAGGAAGCTCGTTCAAAATGTGCAGTATAATATCTTCAGAATCTAAATTAGCTCCGGCTGAGACAATGTTATCAACCAATGCCTTAATCTTGGCTAGATACCGCATCAATGTGAGATCCTTCATTTGGAGATGATAAAGCTCATTTTTAAGCTGCATTACACGAGATCTATTAGAGGGTTGCAGCCGAAGTTCTAGTGTAGACCAGATCTCTTAAGCGGAAGTCAGATTTAGAATGTAGGGTAATACGGCTGAAGAAATCATAGAAAGAAGAGCTGAAACCAGATTTTGCTCTATCAGGTTCCACATCTTGTATTCGGCAGAGTTGGTTTCAGCAACGGAAGCAGCCGACTTGGCAGTGAGTCCCGTGAGATAACCATCGAAACCTTTAGTTAAAAATAGTTGAAAAATCTACAATCTCCATACAGGATAGTTGTCACTAGTTAACTGATTTGGAGCAATCAGCTTGAGGTTTGTCATAAGAAATGTAAGAGGAGAAGGAATAGTAAAATCTACCATGACTGCAGACACCGAAGACATCTGTTGTGCAGCGGCTGTTTGAGAAGATTAAGAAGAAGAGCCTTGTTTTGCCATGAGAGATGCGAAGGCTCAGCTTCTAGAAGCGCTCTGATACCATGAAGACTCTTGTACCTGCAGATAAATTAGTAAGGAAGCAGGAAGACAAGAGTAGAAATCAGAGGACTTTTCATTCCTGTAAAACCTCGGTGCTCAAAGCTACAGAAGGAGGAGTATATATAACTCCAAACACATATGAAATAATGACACGTGGCAGGTTGGTTAAACGTAGCTTTAAGTAAGTGGAGCAGTCGTGTATGGAGCAGCCGAATATGAAGCAGAGGATATGCCTAATGTTTCATGTGCTCTGACAGTCTGGTGTAGTGTGGAAATCGAGCCGACAAAATGCGACTTCGTCGAAATCAGCAGAGACCGATTCAAGAAGCTCTGATTGAGGACCTGCAACGAGAGATTGCATAATTAGAGCAATGTCTCGTTCGATTTGAACAAATAGATTCAACAACGTGACATGAGGAAGAAGAAAACGTCAACCCCTTTCATCAAAAAAGCCCTAGCGAAGATGATACGGGAAGACGATTTACTGGTGGGTAGATTGGCAGAAAACCTCCATCCGATTGTGGAATCAAGATTAATCTTCCCGAGTTTGATGGAAAAATAGATCCCGATGAAGTCATTAACTGGTTGCAATCGGTAGAGCAAATTCTTGAGTTTAAGGAAGTACTGGCTGACCGAATTATCAAGCTAATCGTAACCGCGATAAAAAAAATAGCATCTTTATGGTGGTGGGAGAATTTGAAAAGATCAAAAACCAGGAAGGATGGAGCATCCTGGCCGAAGATGAAGAGGGAGTTGCACGGAAAATATATTCCCGAATAGTATAAATAAGATTTGTTCTTAAAATTCACACAACTGCAGCAGCTACAATCCCTTGTTGAAGAGTATGTGGCTGAATTTGAGCAACTATCTTTGAAGTGCGATTTGCTAGAATCAGAGGAATACATTGTGGCTAGATTCTTGGGAGGTTTGCACCCCTCAATTGCTAATATAGTGCAGATTCAATCCTATTGGACATTCCACGATGTAGTTAATTTGGCATTAATAATAGAGAAGAACAAAAATAGCTTCAAGAAATCCACTAACAAAATAATGGCAACTAATTCCTCCTCAGGAAAGGAGTCTTTTCTGAACAAGCATGCTGTTGGACCCAACAAATCATAAGAAGATCTACTTATTTGAACTATACCATTTGTAAGAGGCGTTCTATAAACTCAGTGAATAGAAACTTTTTGCCAACCCAAAAAATGCCAATATTTGTTCGATAATATGTCATTCCTGGGTTTACATCATCTCATTAATTAGGCATTGAAGCCATCCCGATTAATGTACAAGTTTTTATCCAATAGCATAGCCCTATGTCTATCACTAAGTTTGAAAGTTCCATGGAGTAGCTTCATTTTATTGACGATTCATCAAGGATTTCAATACATTAGCTGCTCCTGTTATAGACTCCAAAAATGTGAAAAGTTTTGTTGGACTCAAACGGCCCAAGAAAGTTTTGAACTACTTAAGCAAGCAGTCTTCATCCACATGTACTAGCCTTGCCCGATTTTAATAGTGTGTTTGAGGTCGATTGTGACGCCTAAAAATTAGGAATAGAGACTTACCTCAACTAAAAGGGACACCTTATTGCTTTTTTTAGTGAAAATTTCAGAGAGGCGCGAAGAAAGTATTTAGTCTATGATAAAAAATTTATAAAAATAGTAAGAGCCTTGAGACACTAGGATCACTATTTATTATCCAATGAATTCATCTTATTCTCGGACCATGAAGCATTACGCTACCTTAGTAGTAAATAAATAAATAAAAGGAAGACATACAATGTGGGTATAATATTTAGCAGATTTTCATTTCATTCTGAGACACAAATTTGAAAAGTGCAACCAAGTGTCAAACACACTTAGCCACCGATCAACACTGCTACAGACCTTACAAACCAATGTAACTAGATTTGATTTGCTAAACAAATCATATTCTAATGATCTAGATTTTGGCAACAAATAGGTTAAAGATTAGCATGGTCCATACCAACTTTATCATATCCAACATGACCACCTTTTCCATGGAAATAAAATTTGCATTCCACAAGGATCCACTAAGTTATCCATCATTAGTGAATGTCACGAGGCAAGTATCGCCAGTACTTTGGAACAGATAAGATCCTCACTTTAGTCAGGGAACATTTTTTTTCCCCCTACTTGCACGGGATGTAGAGCAATTTATTAAAAGGTATCAAGTTTACATACTATCCAAAACTCAAAGTAAGAAGATTAGATTATATACACCTCTCCCTATACCAGAAGATATGTGGATTGAT